GGTGCGGGGATGGGTGCGGGGATGGGGTGCAGGGAGCTGTGCGGGGAGCTGCACAGGGGCTCCCGGCGGGGGAAACAGGTGTGTGTCTGAATGGGCTCCGACATGCGCTGCTGGAAACCACCCAGCAGCAAGTCCTTCTGGTCCCCTAAGGAAGCTCAGCCTCAGCTTTTTCTTCCAGCGAGGTGGGAGATCTCTGCTGGGACTTCCCCACCTTCAGCTGACAGTCTGGGCTCTGTGGGAAGCAGCAGGGACTAATTAAGCAAATGACCTGTCAAAGCTTAGTGATCATCTCGGTGTTCAGAGCAGATAGTGAGTTCAGAGCTCATAGTCTGGCACCTGTCTCGTGCCCAGGAGCCGGGACAGGCTGGCTGGGCTGTCATCCGAGCTCCTGTGGCTGCAGAGAGGATGCTCTCACAGCAACCGCCCAGGGAGATCCCCCAACCTGGGCCTGCTGCTCCCTCCCAGAGGACACCCTGGGCACGGCCAGGGGGCAGTGCTGGGGTTGCTGGGCTCCAGTTCACCTCTCACCCCTCGTGCATGTGTGGGTGCCCCAGGAAGTGTGTCTGTCCTGCTCTGAGTCCAGCAGCTGCTTTTCGCTGCAGAGCAAATTAGCAGCATTTGTTTTTCCTGGGAACTTGTGCATGGTCTGACTTTGTTTCTGCTCTCTCCCAGCCCGTTACTTGCGCTGAGGCTGCTGGCACATAAAATCCAGTCCCCTCAGGAGAGGGAAGCTCTCCATGCTCTCACAGTAAGTACTTCCATCAGCACACAAAGTGAGGCAAGGTGGATGAAGGAAAAATCTGTGTTCTTGCTGCACCTCTTTCTCTCTCGCTGTACCTCCTTCTCTCTCTCTTGCTGTACCTCTTTCTTGCAGTGCCAGAAAGTTCTTAGATTTAGTATTACAATGGCAAAGTTTTTGCAAGCTCCCCAAGCCTTGTGTGTGCAGTTCCTGTTGGTAGCATCTTGTTTTCTGCAGGTGCTGGAGACCTGTGTGAACAACTGTGGTGACAGATTTCACAGTGAAATAGCAAAATTCAGGTTTCTGAATGAGCTGATTAAAGTGCTTTCCCCAAAGGTAGGTGGTGGTGGTTACACTGGGCATTGCAGGTGGGGAACACTGTATTTTGTATTATATAACAGAATGAATCTTACACACAAGAGGAGCAGAATCCCTTCTGGGTCTCCAAGCACAAGGACTGGATGTGTACCTCTGTAGCAATGTAAACCAGGGGCTGTTTTTGTGAAAAGCTCTTTCCTTGTGGTTTCTCCCAGCTCTACTGGGACAGCTGAGGTCTCCAGAAGACCTTGAAAAGGCTCCTGTGGCCCTTTTGCCACATGGATCAGCATCAGCCTAGCTAGCAGCAGGGGGGACTGGACTCAGCAGCCCCTGTGCAGTCCTCTCTCCACCACTGTGTCCTGTAGCCTTTGGGGTCCTGGCAGCAGGGCAGAGGGGTCCCAGCCTCGGGGCAGTGGGACTCCTGAGTCAGGGGGAGGCTGAAGAGGATCAGCTAACGTGGAAGCTGCAGGGTCCCTCCCTGCTACTCCCCTTCCCTGACTTACTACCTAGTCATTCACTGTATTCAATCTATTTATCCAATATGCTCAGCCTGTCCCTTCCTGCTCCCTGCTGTGGAGCACTTCGTTCCCGAGTGCTCGTGCTGCCTCTCAAGGAGCCATCAGAGATGAGAGGCTTGGCTTGGAAGGCTGAGTGAGCTGTGGGCTCAGAGTGAGGGCACTGGGTCCCCTGGAAGGGCCTTTCAGGATGAAAAGTGCAGCCTTGCTGTATCAGTCTGTGGGATCTTCTGGCCATGCTCCTCTGCATCGGGGCAGACCTGGGACTGCTTAAAGACCCTCTTGGCATCGCAGTTGTTGATTTCCCTTTTCACACGTTTACCACTGGTACATGTTTCATTTTCCATTGCATCAGCTCCAGGGCAGAGCTGCCAAAAGCTGATTTCAGAGCAGTGTTTAACTGAACAGCAAACCCCTTCTCTGAGTCCCAGGCCTGGTAATGGGATATCAGTGAAACCACAGAGTTTATCACTGCAGAGAGCTGTTTGCTGTTCTGACAGAGCAAGTATCATTCAATTAGTCTGAATTGCCTGGTCTTGGGGAGGTTTGTGTTTTTGGAGTACATTAAGTGAGCACTCATAGGCAACGATGAAACTGGAGAAAACAGCCAGATGCTGATAAAAGACAATAACTTTCCTTTCTGGTTTTATTCAGTTTTCATGAGTCCAGAGCTGGCTGAGGCCAGTGGTGCAATTGCATCTCTGCAGTTAATGGAAGTGTGTAAAGTCAAGCACAGAACTGTTTTCACTAGTCTAGAACAACCTACTTCGGGTTTTGGATTCAGTAATTCATCAGAGAAGTTTTGAAGTGGTTTCGTTTTGGTTGTCATAGAATGTATATGTAATTCCCACACACTTAGTAGCATTCCTTGTGTAGCCACAGCTACACTCCGTTCCCTAAACCCCAAGATAGACAGCTGACAGCACTGTGAATAAACTCTTAGGAATCCACTCTCTCCTTGGTCTCTGCACACAAACCTCTCAGGGCCAGACCCTTGTGCCAGATCTGGCACCAATTCTTTAGGTTTGAGCTTTTTTCTTACTTGACTGTTTTATTCTGTTTTCAGTACTATGGAACTTGGTCTTCAGAAAAAGTCAAGTTGAGGGTTACAGAAGTGCTATTCAGCTGGACAGTGTGGTTTCCTCAGGAAGTCAAAATCCGGGATGCTTATCAGATGCTGAAGAAACAAGGTTCAGTTCTGTTATTTCAGTTTCCTTTTCAGCCTCCCAGGCCACGTGCTTTCCCCCCACAGACATCTGTCCCTTCAGTTTGTGACTCAGCTCTTTCATAAAGTGCTGTGTGTAAGGAACAGGGACAAAGGCCACACTTCCCAGGCTGGTTGGGTACTGAAGGATGCATGGAACTGTTTAAAAGGATTTAACACAGAACAGCAACCCTTGTGCACAGCCCAGGACAGCGTGGAGGGCTCTGTTCACACAGTGCTCACACTGTGTGCAGGGAAAAGTGATCTTCACCCTGGATACTCTTCCAGGATTACAAGGAATGGGTTCAGAGGGATCCTGGGCTGGAAGTTTCATCCATTCCATTATATTTAATAGTCTCGGTGGTATTGTAATCCAGAAATCCCACGCCAAACCTCACACACTGTTGAGCATTGGGGTTTCAGCAGCTCGGGCAGCAACTGAACAGCTATGGTTACCTGTTCCAGGGATTGTAAAAGAAGATCCCAAATTGCCAGAAGACAAAATTTTACCTCCCCCTTCTCCAAGACCTCAGAATTCCATTTTTGACACAGACGAAGAGAAATCCAAGGTAAACCTTTGAGTTTTCATGCCTACCTGTCACCTCTGATGTGTACTGATGAGAAGAGAGGCTCAGTCACATTTTGGGAGCTTGTGCTGTTTCAGACTATCTCAGAATCATGCTGGTCCTTCCTGCAGTGCAGCAGCTAGAGAGCTCGGTGAAGTTTTGTCAGAAATATTTGTATAGTAAGAAGTGAAACTTTTTTACAGAAGAGAATCAGTTTCTCTGAAGGCTTCTCCAGGGAGGGATTCTCCAGGTCGTACAGCAGTTCTGCAGAGCCAGACAGTTCCTAAGCCCAAGCAGCCAAGCAGTGTGTGCAGGCAGCAGTATAACCTGGATCAGATTGTGGGACAGGAGCACACAGATTTCTGGGGTTATAGGAACTATGATGACAGTGTTTGTCTCTTTACCTGCTCGAGTGTGATGTGTGCCTGTAGCTGCTCACTGTTGTCCATCCCTGCCTTGACAGCTCCTGGCCAAGCTGCTGAAGAGCAGCCACCCCAAGGACCTGCAGGCAGCAAACCACCTGATCCAGAGCGTAATTAAAGAGGTGGGAGCTGCGGGGGGAGGACCTGTTTGCAGCCAGTGAGGGGAGGAGGGACTGAGCCATTCAGTTTTGACAGGGGACCCTTTGGATCAGATGCAGCCCCAGAGCAGGGACCGTTTTCAGTCTTTGTTATTCTGATGTTACAGTGTGGGAGTGGTTTGTTTTGTTTCCCTGAAATATGCCATTGTCAGGAAAAGGGAGTATGTAAATGTGTGCACTCAGGACACTTCCATGTCAGTGGGATCCTGGCTCTAGTTCTGCAGTAGTGGTAGCAAGTTTCCAAAGATAAACTCAGTTCCCAGGTGGAAAAAAGCCACATCTGTACAGAACTGCCTCTTTGCTGCACACAGGGAGTGTGTGCACATCTGGGCTGTCCGTTCTCATTTTCCTACTTCACTGCTTATATGAGATATTTGGTTTAGCAAATCCCTGTGGTCATTTTGAGTATGTCATTCTGCATGGCAGAAGCTACCAACTCCCAACTCAAATTTTGAAGCCTCACTCATGCCTGTGGTGAGATTGATTCTGTACACACCGACACGTGGCCAGGCTGCCCTGAGTGGGACAGGAGATTTCTCTCTCTCTGCCCTTGAGGCAGCAGTGGGTTGCAGCTGGGGGCAGGTTCTCCCCAGTGCTGCTTTATGCCTTCTCTACCTGCAATAAGGTATTAATAAGAAGCAACTCCTCAGGTGTGACCCAGAGTGCCCCAGCCTCAGTTCTCCATGTAAACTGTCTGTATCAGCCAAATCATCACCTTTATTTCATGCTTCATGACAGGAACAAGAGAAGTCAGCTCAGGTGTCCCGAAGAGTGAATGCCCTCAGTGAGGTTTCTGAGAATGTAAAACGTATGGATGAGTTGCTGGAGAGCTACAGGAGACAAGAATTATCCCCAGCTGACCAGGAGGCCCTACAGGTAAATAAATGCTCTTTTTCCCATGTAAGAAAGTGTATCTTTCTCTTCTAGAGGGAGCATCACTTACAGGTGATCACAGAGACAGAAGTGTGAGTGTGCCTGGCATTCCCCGAGCACTGACATGAACTATTTCCTCCCCAGGCTCTGTCCCAGCGCTGTGAGAAGCTCAGGCCACTGCTGTTCCGCCTAGCCAGCGAGGCGGTGGCTGACGATGAGGTGCTCGGTAAGAGCTTTTCTTTGCAGCTGAGTTCATCACCTTTGCTGTTTCAGTGTGGTTTAGCTTTCCTCTGGGAGGGGAGTGCTTGGGCACCTGCTGCCCTGCAGGGAAAGCTCTTCACTTTCACCATTACCAGGCGAAGTGGCACTGAGTCTTCTCCTGGTGCTCCTGTTCAAGAAAACTGCTAGTTTTCACTTGCAGCCCAAAGTTAAACAATGAATCCGTTTCTTCCAGCCAAGGTGGTTTCCAGAGGTTTAGGGGTTCTGATGTTCAGAGAACTGAAGGCTTTTGAGGCTCTTTCTCTCCAGAGATTGAAATGTTCTCCCTGTGTATAAACACAGAAGGAAGAATATGCTTTGAATTTCTTAAGTGCAATACTGAGGAGAGTTGTATGAGCAGAACGTTTAAATTCCATAGTTGTGGAAGTTAGCCCTTCCCAGAGGATGGCATTTCAGTCCTGTCCATATGCCTTGAAAATCTGACTGAGGTGCTGAACAGACATCTGAAACAGCAACCACGAGAGCTTGGCTGTGCCTCCCACCTTCCTTTCATACCCAAGGATGCCAGAGCTCTGCAGCTGGGCAATGCTGGGCTACAGACTCAAGTACACTCGGAAAACTCATGGAGAACAAGAAAGTATAGAAGAGATGGCAGGAACTAGAAGTACTTGAGAGATGGGATTGGATTTCAAAGTGATCTTGATAAATGAGAGAGAGGCCTGAAATCAGCAGCTATGAGTGCAAAATGGAATGAAAGATGAGAGGAGCTGAGGACAAGTTGCTCCTCTGGCCTTTGCTCCAGGCTGGTCCTTAGCTGCACTGTCCCTTCCTCACCAGCAGTTTAGAGAGAGCTGTGGAACTGAACTGACCCTCCTGTTAGAGCATCAGTGTTTTGTTTCTTCTCCTGTTTCCCAGCTGAGATCCTGCAGGCCAGCGACAAGCTCACGAGGGCGCTGGGGCAGTACAGGCAGGTTGTAGCCAGCCAGAACGGGAATGGAGGAGCCACTGATGCACCAGGTGAGGAGCATCCACAGCATCCCCTGGCAGCTCTGCTCCTGCATGCCAGCTGGGAGTGGGATCTGGAAGGGAAGGGCTTCTCAGAGAATAAATGTGGGGAAAAGCTTGTAACACAGAGGAAATATTATGTAACCATCATTTTCTTTTACACATGCTTGATAGAAAATATTCCTGAAGTTCCTCACCTGTGAGTCCTTGTGGGCACACCTGTACCCATGGATATGCCATTCCTTTGGGAGGTTCCTGTCTCACTCCCTCTCTGTGCCCGCAGCATGCCGCCCAGCCCCGCGGCGCATGAAGAGCTACACCCTGATGGACTTCTCTGAGCTGGAGGCCACAGCCCAGTCTCCCACAGATCCCTTTGAAGACATCCCCTCCACCTCCCGCCACAGCAGCACCACCTCCACCTGCCTGCTCGAGGAGGAGTTACTCTCCTTAGGTCAGTGTGTGCAGTGGTACCCTGGTCACTGGGGCTTGTGGTGGCTAAGGGAGGAGAGCTTTGATTTTCATGTCAGCCCCCAGAGAAGGTAGAGCCTCAGTGGTAAATTTTCAGGGATGGAGTGTGTTAGTAGTGTTAAACTGCATTCAAACCTCAGTTAGACAGCAAAGGAAGAACCTGTGGAAACCCCTTGTTTTCTGTAAATTATCTGTGGCATTTTGGTATCTTTCTTAGGTCTCAGCGACTCTCCTGTTGTACAGAAACCACCACCTGATTTTGGCTTTGCAGAGGTGAGCGATGCTCAGATTCCTTACAGTCCATGAGGTACAAAGGACAAAAATCAGAGGTGGTTCCTGGTCTGGCTTTCCTTGACAGCCTTTTTTACACCCTGTTCTGAAGGGAAACTGGAATCCCGTTCTCAATGAGTCACTCAGTTGCAGTTTGCAACCAAATTACTCGTATTTATTGCTACTTTAAGTAGTGATATAAAAACAAGGTTCTTTTCAGTGGAACAGGTTTAATTTGCTGATATTCTATGATATGAACCCAAAGTGCCTTATTTTCCAGCCTGCTGCACACAATGGATGTAGGGAAGCTGTGAGTGCTGTTCAAACCGTGGGGCCACAGGAGAGTTGGGAACGCAGCTGTGTAGGGA